CAGTTTTGTATTCATTGTCCGTAGCCAGATCTTCCTGTTCAACTCTTTGATTATTAATGGGGCATACTGCTCATTCTCTTCTTTAAAGCATCAAACAGATCGCGATTGTCTGCGTTTTTCTCCATTGTCGTTTACAGTATACGAACGTTACAAAAAAGAACCAATACGGGAACAGCGATTATGACGTAGCGGGCAGATATACTGACGTGTCGCAAAAAGGTGGCGCATTTGTTTTTTAAGGGTATCGCGTGAATGTAACTTTGATTCCCCGGAATATAAGATAATATTCTAATTAAAGTTATATATCATTTTAAAGCTGTTTCGATGAAGATTTTAGATCAACTACACTCCGTTCACATTTTTGCGCGTTCGTTTTTAAAAAAGAGTTTTTTACCAAAACATCTGGCAAATATCCCATGTTGACACGTTACATTTTGAATTATTTTTCGTCTTTAAACGCTCATAACTCAAACAATATATGACTATTATACTTATTTTTCGTCTTGATAAAGGTAGATGGAAGTTTTATTTCAAAGGATGAATTTTAGTAAGCGTCCCATATTGTGACGTCATAGAGTCTGAAAAATAGAATCTGTTGACAGCGACCTTTTTTGCTCATTTTTTGGTACCTTCAACTTTTCAGGTGTACATTAAACAAAAAATACGAGATCAATTTTTAATAAATCATACATGATTATTTTGCTCCTAAACTCTAGTTTATTAATAATTAGTTGATTTTGTTCACAAAAGTATGTGTTTTCTGTTGTATGTGGAAAAGTGGAGGACGAAAGGTTTTCAAAATTCATTAAAATAGGGCTAAATTACGCCATTCGCCTATTTTCAAGCACAGCAACATGTATATTTATTTCACCTAAAATATCAATTGATTCGTGTTTTATGATGCTCCTAGCCCATTAACAATATATATATGATATCAAAGTTATTCGTCTAAAATGTTTTTAGATATAGAGGTAAATGTGGAGGACGAAAGGATTTTCATGTGTGTACATTTTTCTCAAAAACGTCACATTCTATCATGTTAAAAGCGAGAATCCTCTGGATTACGCCACAAAATTTGTAACAATGCGTGCGCGAGCTTTTTGCGACCCGTCACTATATCTGCCCGCTCGGAGCGGGACGTAAAGCTATATCTGCCCGCTGATGAAAATATAAGTTTTTACAAACTGGCTTTATGTACCTGTAACACGTCCAAGTATGGGATAAACACTATTATATATACAGGTTTATAAATTACGTTTCGACACAAGTGAATTCGTGTTCTCGCAAATCAAAATTAACAAAAATACGTAGATAATATATAATATAATTGTATATTTATAGAACAATGAACAAATTTTAAAGATGTTTTGAAAATAAATTAAAATTCATCCTCAAGTGTCTCTTAAAATAGGATTGATTGATGAATATGTCAGAAATCAACTCATCCATGCATGAAAGTGGTTCAGAAAAAAGGATTTTAAATCTTAGTTCTCATAGAAACTAATGGTACAGTAATATTTAAAACATAATTACATTTTTCTTTTCAACTTAGTTCGATAATCAATATTGGTTTATTTTGAAAGTTTGACATATTCATAGATTTTGAGAAAAACGTTTTTTTTTCTGGTGTTAAAAAGATTATGTATTTTACACTGTATAGTGAAATATTTGATTATTAAAAATTTGATAATTAAAATATTTGAATATTTCAGATTGTTTAATGTCTTCTAATTGTACCCTGCGCGCAGAGTCTAGTTATAAACTACGAACGGTGCAAAGGATGATCTAGATTATTACCACTCTAATTTTGGTAATATGTCGACAACTCTTTGTTATTTTGTTAAATATACAATGTTCCGTTTGGATAACGCTAACAATTTCGAAAATGTACAAGTGCCAAATATACGTATTTGATTGTACTATGAGAAAGCTGAACTCTGGATTATTTCAACGGGTATTTAATAAACTCCAGATTGGCCATATAGAAGTATAAAAATATCCCGAGGGAAACGTCCATTGAAATTTCGGTAGCTAAACTATCGTACTTTGTTGAGAAATCACAAGAGCCAAATGTACAAAGCTAACGTAAATATATTAAGAATTAAAATAACAAAATGTAATTTGCGATTGCTTGATAGAATTAATCCCATTAAATAAATCCGTTCACTATTGAAATGTTAGTTTACAATGGGTCCGACCGAAACACAGTGTTGTAAAAATACACCCATCTGGTAGAAATAATGTTGATTTTAACCAAACTCTGTTTACACTTCATTATGTCACAAATCTTGAGTGATTACAGAGGCTTCATTTCACCCATACCTCTTATATCCTGACCACAATGTATTAAGTTTTATTGAAAATCCACCTTTCACAACATAATCGAAGTAAATCTTTATTTGCAGCACTTAAGTACGGCCATTGGCAATATTTGAACGCTAAACATTGAGTTTAAAGACAGACTTTCCCGAAAATAAAGTAAAATAAGTGTCATGTTGAAAATGCTAAATAAACTAGAAGATACTAATTTCACAAAGTAAAAAATCATGTATACCCGGAAACTGATACTCTAATTTTGTAAACATCCTAAAACTGCCATCGTTTTGTTCAATTTTTATGAAGAAATCAAGGGAAACATCGAAAGCATACGGCCTTTCTTTAATGAGGCTAGGCCAAGAATAAGTGGTATAATTTGCTTGAATACAAAAGCGTTGTTGTTAGGAAATCTTCAGACGGGTATCTTTAAGTTGTAGGAATGTTTTTATCCTCGGGATTATTACTGGCATGTGTTGGACAAGTGTTTAGATCTCAGTTTTGCTTATGTTAGAGATATAGAATTATTGGGATTAATTTTCTTTCATACTTACCGCCCTATAAGATCGGTGTCAATTCAGTTATAAAATTATAAATCTCAAGCTCTGCCAAGTGACTTCGGGCTAAATATGTCCCATTCTTTGATCAATTGATACTCGATGTAAAGTTTAATATCTCATTCTGAGAATTTCGTTTGAAATAATATCAGCGGCTAACAAAATATACAAAACGGAAAGTCATTTTCAAAAATGGTTTTGGAATGATATTAACTGTTTCTATCATAGTTTTCTAGGCATCTGGCATTTCATTTGTTATATTCCTAAACTATACAACATACAATCATTAACAAATGTAAAAAATCAAAAGAGTATACTTCTATCTACTAGTCCTGCCCAACCTATTTTGAAAATCATGACTTATATATACAATTGTATATAAATAAGCTAGCTAGTGAAGCATACGACTGTGACAATGCAAATCCCCCCCCCAGTCATTTTCAAAAATGGTTTTGGAATGATATTAACTGTTTCTATCATAGTTTTCTAGGCATCTGGCATTTCATTTGTTATATTCCTAAACTATACAACATACAATCATTAACAAATGTAAAAAATCAAAAGAGTATACTTCTATCTACTAGTCCTGCCCAACCTATTTTGAAAATCATGACTTATATATACAATTGTATATAAATAAGCTAGCTAGTGAAGCATACGACTGTGACAATGCAAATCCCCCCCCCAAAAAAAAATGTTTCGTTAAAAGCCACATATCCTTAACTCCTTATTTTGTGTCTATGTGATATTGTCAAAACAACCAACAATATGAGCTAGAAACAAAAAGCAAAAATCAACTTGTGGAAGGGAAATGGTTTAGAATTTGATGCTTTCATATTGTCACTCCATTAGTTTTGAGTTGATTACTGGGATAAGGAATATTGCGAATATATATTGAGAGTTTCAAAAGTTGTTTCAAAATAGACTGGACATAAAATAATTTTACTATTCTTTACTAGACTCCATTTCATGACAAGGCTCAGTTGTATTTAATTCAAGTATCAACTTACTTTTTCATATAGAAAGATAGCATTGAATGAATAACATTACAAATAGCCTTATTCGACATGTATCTCATAAGCGTACTAGTATCCTCTCGATTGGAATATTGATATCAAAACTAATATTTTATCAAAATTTTCAAAGTTTATCTCTTAGATGATTTGCATTGCTTGTCTACAAATCAAGAAGAATACCCTTGAGCCTTGGGGCAAGAAGTAATAACAACCATTCACGTCCTCTGACTAAGATAAACAACTTTACAGTTTTGGTGCTGATAAGATCCATGTTGACCTGCCTGAAAGTAGCTGTCGTGGGTTTTGAAGAGTGCGAGCATCAAACAAATGCCCACGCTGATATGAAGGCATACGGTTCTGTTACTGCAAAAGGGTAACCGAATTTTGGTCGATCTAATGTGATTAGGTAAGATTAGATTGAAAAATTATATATTATTCAATGAGAAAACTCGTTATTAAAGGTACGGAATCTCATGTTGGAGATGGTGTGCACATACTTTTAATTTGCAAGTTTTAATTTCAATCATGTCTATTAATCGAGAAACACAATTGCGTCTTCTATATCTAAAGTTGCTCAAAGTTTCTAGATGTAGAACATAATTATAAAACATATATTTGAAGAATACATCGGTCCATCTTCAGATATTTCGATCGGTTCAGTCTAAAAAAAGGAACTGATTTGTACACTGAATTAAATGATGGTCGTAGTATGTTTTAAATGTCACATCACGGCACCACATTTTATTCTCATCTGCTCTTTGGCTGTAGATTGTTTAAATCATTCCATATGGAAATACGAAACGTTTATTTTCGGAGACCTCTTTACTATCTCTGAGCCTGTTGTTATCGCATTTGTTAAATTGCTCAAGTGTATGTTAAAAGAGAAAGCTAATCGGTATTTTGAGATATGTAAGCTAGATTTCACTCGCGAGGTTTCCAAATAAACATATTTCTGACAGTACATGGGTGGGCATTATGCGGTTTGAAGACTAACACCGGGCCAAATGTAAACAATTACGTCACTTCCGCGAGTTTTGATTGGTCAAAACTGGGGAAATCCAACATGATTGGCAGCTTGAAGTATTTCTATCCCAATAGTCTAAATGTCTTAAACCAACATTTGGTTCTATGCGTTTATTTTCCCATTATAATATTAAACTTTGGTCACAAAAACAACAACTTCTTATGGCAAGAATAACACAGAAACTCAGCGGAGATCTACAAAGAGAGGTATAAAGCCTATCGTGCAAGACGAGATACCAGACGATATCCATTATTGCTGGAGTCAACATCAAGGTTTAACAACAAAATACGGAAGTTACGGACAGTTTTTCTGAGACTATGGCTCATCAATTGACACCAGGGAACTCACTTGCAGCTCTCTATGCTAAATATGCCACGGAAACGAATCGGTATCAGCCGTACGGAGGGGCAGCTAGCATGTACTACCCACACGCTGATTACAGTCGAGCGTACGCGCTTTCGATGCTCGCTGACTTCGAAAGACGTGAACAGCCGCAAAAACCACCATATTCATACATCGCTCTGATAGCAATGGCGATCAAGAACTCACCCGAAAGAAAACTGACTCTAAACGGGATCTACCAATTCATAATGGAGCGTTTCCCGTATTACCATGACAACAAGCAGGGATGGCAGAACTCTATTCGTCACAATCTGAGCCTTAATGATTGCTTCATGAAAGTCGCCAGAGAAAAAGGGAAGCCTGGAAAAGGGAACTACTGGACCCTTGATCCAAATTGTGACGAAATGTTTGATAACGGAAATTACCGAAGGAGAAAGAGGCGACAGAAGATGCAGGTGATGAAAACATCGCAAGATTCGAACGCTATGCAAAAAGGCGGCTTTGAAAAATGCACGCCACATGATGAGGAATACCCCGATGACGTAAGTGGAATTTCTGATGACATAGGCGACAGCGAAAGTGATACAGATGCTACACAAAATGATACAGACAATATTAGTCAAACGAGTGATATTCGAATGAAAGCTGAACCGATTAATATTACTAAAGCTGGAAAGAACATTGTCGTGTCCGAAAGTTGCGTCGAACAAAGGGTAAAAACGCCTCATTTAACAATATCCACGCCTTCGACTGCACCGTCAATATTACCTTCAGCATCTTCTACAACTACTTCCATGCCAACCCCCGAAGTGAGCCCTTCACCGCCAAAACGTAAATTATTCACTATTGACAGCTTGATCGGAAACGTCAAGAACTCAAGCGAACAAACGTCATCAGACTCTGCCAAATCACCAAGTGTTTATGATAAAATCCCAAGCCCTCCGCCCAAAGTGATAGACTTAAGTAAAAGAGGTATCTCTCAACCGTACCCATACGGGGGATATCCTATGTATGCGTATCCAACTCCAAATGGGGTGTTTGCAGGGTCGGTATCTGCAATACGCTCCGGCGTTCCGCATGCAAATAGTCACTACTTAGAAGCGATGGGACTTTCACACCTCGGAATTTCGCCACTCGCATCTCTGGCTGCGGTTCAAGGACCTTATGCTCCAGCGGCTAGCATGCGTAGTTTAGCTGCTGCGGTTGAACTCTATCATAATAGCAAGAATTGATCTGACGACATTATGTGTTTGACTTTCATAGACTTGAATGAATTAGAGTCTTCTACCCATACTGGTATCATGGCATGCTTTTAAAGATGAACGAGTGTGTGCTTTTTTAGAATTTCTATACACTTTAATTAGATTTTAAAACTGGTTAATTTATTTTTGCTGATTCAACTCTTCTTAGTCCTACATACAAGTCTGGAAGAGAGGTAAAATCTTAGCTTATTTACAATGATGCAGTTCATTTACAAGCTCGACAAAATGTTCAATGATGTATTCTAGCTTGTATACAGGACTATTTTTGCTGAATTAAGAGTTTTGAAATATCCCATCCGTGACATATTATATAGACATTTATCACTCTGCAACTGTTTATTGAATTACCACCAAGTGTTAACATTTTATCTATCTTGTGAATAAATATTTATAAATATTACGGCTATGTTTATTTTGTGTATGCTAAAATTCCTAATATCGCCAGCATTGAAATAACATGATATGATCATCATTCTGAACAGATTAACCTCTAGTATTCTAGAGCATTTTTCATTTTTGATGGCATTTGCCATTTTCACTATATTTATATAACATATGTGAAATGTACTTTTGTAGAAATTAGTGAATAGACACATTTTACACATTATAAAACATCATTTGATTTTGTAAGTTTTAGCGAAACCGCCCGCAACAACTTTTTACGTCGCTCTTTGGATTCAAGAGGTTAATCGCGATCAAGAATGTTTTTACACTGACAAAACTTGCCATAGATTCCCGCACCGATTTATAACCTCTAAATCAACTCTGACTAAAATAAACAATAGACATATTGTTAATGTAAATGAAAGTCGCCAAAAATGGAAAAAATGGGAAAATTACACAGCTAGGCTAAATGAGTTTCCATTAGTTTTGATGCAACCCATTTTAGCTCACATGTTGAGCTATAGCTACCACTCACTTGTCCGTCTGGCTGTCTGTCCGTCTGACTGTCCGTCTGTCCGCCAGTATGTCTTTAACAATCTGTCGATAGGATTCCCATTCTTAATTATTTTTGTTTAACATCAACATCAACACAGAACCCACCCCCTACATATGACTCCTTATTCAAAGGCTTGCCTTATTTCAAAATGGCCGCCATTTGTGATTCGCAAAATTTACTTTTAGACCATTTAGTAGTCTTTAAAGAATTCAATATGGCCACCAGTTTTGTCGCAAAAAGTTCGACTTAATAAAAGAGACAGCTACGCTTCTATAGTACCAAAAATATACACGTCAGCTTTTTAGCTATGATTCAAAATCACTTCAAAAAATTGAGGAAAAAATTTCGAATAATTTCTGGAGAGACTTTGTTCATGTTCTGAGAATTTACACACAACAAAAAGAAAAAGAAGCTGAACATAATACTAAACTGAGAGCTGAACAAGCTATGTGTAATACATGGGGGAAACATACCAAAAATCTATGCTTATTCTTTGAAATAAAAAAAATTATAAAAAAAAAATATATATATATATACATGTCGGGACAGGGATTATTACCAAAATTCAATAATAACATGTTTTTCTTGGGAAATAAACGAGGGAAAGAATTGATAATAAAAAATCCCATGTCAGATCCCGTATCAGCCAAAATCCCGTATCAGATCGCGTATCAGAACTATTCCCGGGGATTTCTCTTAATGTTTACATTTTTCGCTCAATTTTAAAGCCTGTTGATAAAAGTTGAAAATGTTTTATGATAAATCAAATTGTATTATTTTATGTCATCCTCATTGGGTGATGACAAATCAAACTTGAAGAATAAATAAGTTTCAAAAAATATATTATGGAATAAATAGGTTATTGATGGCCGTGATAGAAAACTAATTTTTCCTCGAGAAAACACGACATTGGCCTCGGAAAATATATTGACACTCGGGCCCTCGGTCAATAAGATATTTTCCTTGACCAATATCATATTTTCCCTCGGAATAAAATTCATATTCCGTCCCTCCCATTAGAAACTGTATATGTCTTACTTAAATATCTGACTCTGTCATGTGTTTAGGAATCATATGGGATAATATCAGTGTTCAATATCCACGAGCAAAACTAAAGTAATATCGTTTCCTGGATTTTCCATTTTGTTTGCTCAATCGGTTCACATGGTCGAGATGTTAAAATATCAGTACAAGTGTAAGATTGTTCATTTTTTCCTTTTCAATAAGTTTATAGCATGGTCAATATAGTGAAATACGAGTAGAAGTGAATTTTCAGTTTCCATTTGGCTTTTTCAACAGGTTTGCATGAATAACTTCATAAAATAATATAGATGTAACAGTAGATGTGACAGATACCTGTCTAGGCACCTTACTTATTACTTGCTTGTTTGTTTATTTGTTTATTTGTTTGTGTGTTTGTGATATTGTTTTGGTACTGGTATGGTTTACATCAGTACAAGTGCATCTACGTGCCATGGACAGGTGTGTATGACATGCCACATATAAGATATTCAACATGGACGCCTGAAACAGATTGAAACTGAGAGATTTTTAAAATACAGAGGTGTTCACATACACAGGTTTTACAGCTTTGCTAAAAATCAAAGCTTTTAAGCCATCATTTTGGGTCCAATAAAGCGAGTCTCTGAGAATGCCATACAATTCAACTTTCAATAAATGAATACTCATGTATCTCGTACAATAATATTAAACTGTGCAATTTGGAACCCGCTTGTTTTGTGTGTAAACTATTCTGCCAGGGTTGTAGGGGTTTTCATTAGTATATAAACATAATGTTTGATTATTCTTGATGTTCCTGTTTTTCTCAAAATGACCACGATACGTATTTGTGCAAAAACAAAGTCATCCGATCCAACCAATTGTATTTTAATCAATCAATATTGTTAAAAATGAAACAAAGGTTTTGATTTTTGCAGTTCATATCGATGCTAAGCGTGAACCTTGAAAATAGATAAAAGTCATTCACTAAGGTATTTGATAACAAAACAAGGTTTACTCTTCAAGAACTAACACGAAGACGTATGTTGACCAGATTTTCTAAAAAGGCCTGTTTCATAATATACTCAAGAATTAAAATCGTTTAAAGATTTGTTTGAAAGATAATAATAAACAATGAAGATGCTCTTAAAGTGTCAGCCGCGGTAGGAACTCGTAGTTTGAAAATTTGGGGTTTTGTTTACAATTGAGGGTATCGAACTTCCCGGGGATTTGATTTCACCGGAAATCTTTTTTTCTTTTAGGATATCTGGTATAGGTTAATCCTTTGTTTATATTACATTAGTGTTTTACCATTTGTATTGATTAATCTCGAATGAACACTCAGAAATATATAGGATTGACAAAGTTTCAACATTCACCATTGACAATGTAAACAATTGACCTAAAAATACATTCTTTATCATCTCAAATCGATTATCATCCAGGGATTCGTGATTTTTATACGTGCAGTTACTTAAATGAAATACCCAAAAATTGTCCACCCATTTTTAAAAAAATAGTTATCTTTCCTGGAATAAATTCAAATTCAAAAGGAAAGGAAAAGTGTTTTGAGCAAAAAAATAGTTTAAAACTTAATTAAACAACCTCTGATGGGTTGCTCACTTGGTCTGTTTTTGCCTTCCACCTATGATGTTTGCTTGCCTTTTTCAGGCTATCTATATCATAGGAATTTCAAAGAAATTGTTTAAACAAAAGCAATCATTGGGGGTAATGAATACTTACCTTAATATTCCGATAAAATTCTACTTTAAGTATAGTTGATCGCGTTCTTTGTGTCAGTTCATTGTGTCGGTGAATCGAATGATTTATCATTATCTTTAAAGTCGTCATCCTTCAAACCCAAGATTTGAACGATAAGAGAATAAAAAACAAAATCTCATGAATTGCAAAAAAATCATAAATGCTGTATTCACATTTTAAAGAAAATATGAAGAGGGTAGGCCTAAAAATAGGACACTCACATAAGGTATATTTAAAAAAGTTAAATGTCACGAGCTAAATGTTATGAAAATTAGATGGTCTGGGGGTTTATTCCATTTGTGGATGAATGTATACAATTTAAGTCAATTTTTCATTGTTGCTGTATTTCTGCTTCAAATAATGTGGTGCATTACCACAAAATTAAAACAATAAGTCAACGATAAAATAACTCGTGAATTGTAGCAAATTAAAAACATCCAAGAATGATATAAATAATTATGTTTTTACAAACTTCACATGTTTCTTTATCTTGACATGAAATAACAAGGTATAATATTCGATTTGGTATTTACGCCAAAAATTAACATTTGTTTTATTTGAAGCGTTTCATGCAAAAAATTGAATCCGCCATTTTGTTTTAGCTCCTCTTTTCCATTGAAGATCTTTAAACTTTGGGTTTTCCCTCTTCTTAAACCCACTAAATTCGTCGCCATCTATCGACAACCAGCTCTTTAGGCAATAGACTCATTAGAAATAGGTCAAGTATTTACAACCCATCCCGTGTAATTTTAATCAACGAGTTAACATAAAAAAGCAGATTTTCGTAAAATACCAAAAACACCACTGCTTAGTATTCCACTTGCACCAACATTTATCTTGGTTTAAGATTGAATGGAATAAGCATTTGAGTACGACTTTTCTAATATTACTTTTGTAGGCTATGGGTCATGTTCTTCGAATTTGTACTACGAAACCTTTCAAAATAAAAGTGTTTGAAATAGTTGTTCTTTTCAAATGAACTCTCGATCCTTTATTATTAAGATGGAGAAAATCTTATAATATTGCCTCAAGTTAAACAACTTTTAAATTGAAATGAACTGTGGGAGGTTTTGATCTATGTGCTATCAAAATATAGAGCTATTTATATTTCAATCTAATAGTGTATTTGGCATCAACCTGGAACAATTATACACCATGCAGTATCGTTGGAGAATAAGAACCGGACTCGTTTTATCAATGATTGTTCCTCACAGTTATGTGAAATAAGTATTTGAAAACGCAATTTTCGAAGCAGATCGTCACAGATAAATGTTCCAATAAATTAAGGAATACAACTTTCAAAAGTATTGGGAACCCTAACACATCCTGGCCACGTATTGAACCCTAGTTGGTTATTTTTTCGATTAAGACCGCATTAATTTGACAAAACACAAACAATGCGTTATGATATTCAATATCTAATGGGAAGATGGGATTGTCAACTTTAAAAAGGAGTTTAAATATAGTCTTATTGAACGTGTGTGAATGAATGTAGTCATATCAGGCACTTTCTTTAATCGTGGAGACATTCAACAGGTTTGCATGAATAACTTCATAAAATAATATAGATGTAACAGTAGATGTGACAGATACCTGTCTAGGCACCTTACTTATTACTTGCTTGTTTGTTTATTTGTTTATTTGTTTGTGTGTTTGTGATATTGTTTTGGTACTGGTATGGTTTACATCAGTACAAGTGCATCTACGTGCCATGGACAGGTGTGTATGACATGCCACATATAAGATATTCAACATGGACGCCTGAAACAGATTGAAACTGAGAGATTTTTAAAATACAGAGGTGTTCACATACACAGGTTTTACAGCTTTGCTAAAAATCAAAGCTTTTAAGCCATCATTTTGGGTCCAATAAAGCGAGTCTCTGAGAATGCCATACAATTCAACTTTCAATAAATGAATACTCATGTATCTCGTACAATAATATTAAACTGTGCAATTTGGAACCCGCTTGTTTTGTGTGTAAACTATTCTGCCAGGGTTGTAGGGGT